TGGCAGTGGCAGTGGCAGTAAAACTGTTGGCAATTGCCGCTGCTGCTTGCATAACGCAGAGTGGTCGCGACCCCAACCACCGCGTGCTACATTTAACTGTTTGCTATCACAATTTCCATTGACCATTTTAGCGCACCACCACAGCTGCCACCACAATTTGTGCAAGTCCAAGCAAACATGTGTTGGAGCGGCGTGCTTGTTGGTGGCAGCGGTGGCGCGTAGTCGGAGCTGAACAATACTTTTTGGTGCGTTTAAAATTACACTTTTTTCGCACGCTTTTTGTTATTGCACTTGTAAATATGATATTTCTACATTTTCGTTATTTTTAGTACTATCTTTGACATGAAATGTAAATATTTTGCCAAATTGTAAACAAATATTTCAGTGGTGAAGCAGCAGCAATGGCAGCAACAAAAATATTCTTGCAGTTGTATTAGTTGCAAACGGATGTGCGAACATTGCATTACACAAGCGATTATAGCAGTGATGCTACAACAATGTAAGCTCATAAAAAGCGCAGCTGGAAGTAGGACAATGCAGAGGAGGCAGGCGAAAAAAACTGTAGGAACAAATTTGTTGCAAGTAAAACAAATCGCGTTTGCTCTGCTAGGTTGCAACAATAAAACATTTAGTGAACTTTTGTTGCTGTTGCCTGAAATGTTGTGTGTGGTGAATTTTTTGTTGCTACAATTTTAATTACACAGCTTGGGCTGCTCCCATTTCTAACTTTCCTGTTTTGAGGCATACTTTGCGCGTTGATTTAATCAAGCCGCGTAATCCCGAAGAAGAAGAAATTTGTATCTCACTCAAGCTCTCAATTTTATCGAGATACCTCAAAACAGGTATATTGCAGAGCAAGCAAATGCCCAGAGGCTTATTACGACTGTCTACGTAAACGTCGGACATACACTCGTGGTAGACGCAGAGAGTCTCTGGCAGAAGCCGCTGACGAATACAAACCCGCAAGGCAAGCATTAAAAGAGGCCATGGTATTGAGAAAAAACAGAGACAAGAAGAAAAGCGGAGCGAAAACCTAAAAAATGCCCTCTGGTAGCTAAGCTATTAATTGCTTATGGGAAAACTCGATGGCAAATCCCCTATGCCTGAGCTGAAAGAAAATACGGCTACTAGCATAGTAAGCACCCTCTACCCTACACATGAAGAGCGCATCCGTGTAGAGAAGAAAGCTGATGCAGTTCCACCTCCTTTCTCTGAGGAACAGATCTTTGCCGCCGCATGATGGTTATAAGAGGACAAAACGCATGGTCCCGATGTAGTACCGGCTCAAATACTAAAAACGTCACATCCGGTGCTTCTCTATGATATGTGCGTCACGGAAAGGTTATTTCCGAGAACATAGAAAGCAGCGCCCAGTTTTAAAAAATAAAGGAAAACGAACTCCTAATTGCCCCTCAACGTACATACTGATTTCCAGGCCAGAAAGCGTATGGTAGGAGCTATAGAAGAAACTACCAAAAGTGTAGCAAAGCCTCAGCGCCGTAACCATTACTCCAGAAAAAGTGTCCCATTTGCCGCGTAGGACGTCAGAAACCATTAAACAGCATCAGTTGGATAGACAGTTTCAAATTCCAACTTACCAGATTAGTATTATACGGAGCGACAGGAGTGAACGTGAACTCATTTATCAAACAAAACACGGAGAGCGGCAAAAAAAAACTCACGCCTGGGATCTATCCTTGGCCCATACCTCTGGAACACCCGCTACGACGAAATACTGGGAATGAACATGCCGAGTGACATTTATTTTGTCGGCTATGCAGATGTGGAAGCAGACATAACTGCGAGCAACATGGATCGACAAGGAGAAGTCTACTTATAAGAACTGTTGCACTAAACAAGAAGGTGAACCACAAGAAAGTACTGTCGAGGCAAAGAATAGGCGCTCTACGTATAGCATCAGCATTTCGGAAAGAATCCATAGACGCAGTGCTAGTAATCAGTGAAACCATAACGATCTACCTCCTGATCGAAGAGAGGCAGAGCCTGCAATTTAGCTTGCCAATCGGAGGTGAAGAAACAAACAATCACGCTGTGGCAGGAAAGATGGAATGGCGTTGCACATAGACGATGACCAGCTAAGCTCATACATGAAATATCAAATTACTATCTCACGCAACTTCTGTCAGGGCCTGGATATTTCGGAAAGTATCTAAAAAATATATACAAAGTGAACGAACCGTTATCTCTTTACAGTGACAGCGCTTAGTGCGACACAGAACATACCTTTTTTCTAATTCGAAAAATGGAAAACAGAAAGAGATCCTCTCGAAACAACGATCTCTCGAAACAACGGTAGGAAAAATAACAGCGGAAAACAAGCGTCGAAACAGGGGAGCACATAAAGCGATGCACTGAAAAACTGTTACGTGCAAAAAAGCGGGACCTAGACGCAGACTCAACAGGAGGCTCGTGTAATATGTATAATTGCAGCTTTGTAACCACTCAAGTGATTTTCGGCCGAACTCCTTCTTCAATTTATTGTATGCATCGTGATGATGAGGACCCGCATGTGTCTATTTCTCGACGTTCTCAAAAGCTGCGACTTCTTATGGCACATTATGGACTTACACCCATGTACAACGATATAAAGTTCAGCTTAAACACCCACTGAAGCTAGCTGACCATACACAACGTACATATATCGATTAGGTGCTGGAACAACAAGCAGTGGATGGTGGTTTTTGGAACAAAATTTTGTTCATCACATTTCACACTCCGCTATGTGTACATAAGCAAAATTTACACTCCGAAAATCCGCAAATAATTAAAGAGAGGCCAATACATTCCAATAAAGTTACTGTGTATTGCGCTTGTTGCCACGGAAGTGTGATTGGAACTTACTGCTTTGAAAACGAGAACGAGAGAGAGAGAGAGAGAGAGTGTTACTATCACTTCGGAGTGTTACGATTGAATGAAAAACGACTTTCGTTGACCTGCTTTTGAAGAGCACGAGCTGCACATTGTGGTTCAACAAGGGCGAATATGGTTTTATTGTGTGGAAAATCTCTCGTAAGGGCGAAGTCAATTGGCCAAAGAGATCGCTTGATTTGACACTGGTGTAGTTTTTTGTGTGGAACTACGTAAAACACCATGTTTATGCCGATAAACTTTTAACTTTTTTGGGCACTTGAAAGTCAACACTCGTAAACTTATGGCTGAGATATCGCTCAATATGTGCCAAAAAGCGGTCGAAAATTGCTTCAAACGGTTCGAAAATTCAAAAACTAGCGGGCGCCATTGATTACCAAGATTCAAACTGTATAATAAAAAAAGGAAATTTCACGAAAAAAGTTAATTGAAATGCATTTTATTTATTTACTTCTAAAGCCGCTCCAATTATTAAGGCAAGTCGAACCATCGAAGCGTTCCCTGGCCCACTTACTGTAAGAAAAAGTGTTCCCAATCATAATTTATGCCCAAACTGCTACTGTTTCAAATTCTTATGTAAGTCAAACGAAAAACTTTTTTGAAATATATCGGCGCCAGGTCCACTGTTCACGGACAACGCTTTCTCATCAAGATGATACGTTACGTTACACGCAGAACATAACCTCCAAATTTCAGAGCTGGACGATCAGAGGTTTGGATTGTGGATTGATCCGCCAGTCATTCAGACAAACCAGTTTAATATATTTTTTATGTACAAAATAAAGCTTTTGCTAAATTCAATTTGCTGCCAGGTATAAGAATCTCAATTAAATTATTTATTTTATTATTAAATACTCACAATTGATAATTATTAGAGTGCATAGATGGCAAGCACTCAAGATCTGAGTAGAAATAAATTTTCAAAAAAAAAAAAAAAAAAGGGCTTTAGTCATATAAGAATATAATTGAAAGTGCTAATCTTAATTCAGACTATTCAGACACAGCTAGTACTTGATAAACAAAAAAAAAATGTAGAAAAATAAAATCTAAAGAATTTGCCATCAACAGCAACTAGGATACACGGAGACTTAGGCACAACAAGAGCAGTTGCTTGAGCTGAAAGAAATGCGCATTATTGCAAAAAGTTATACCGTTGTGAGCATTTAAGCATAAAATATGCCGTGATACAACTGCAACAATTGAATGTCTCAAGAGCGACATAAAAAATGCAGGTGATCAGTGAAGAAGAAACTGAAAAAGGAGAGGATAACGAGCAATATTTGTAGTGTGTAGTATGCATAGCCTTGAAGCAATACAAATATGCAAGAAATAAATTATGAGAAAAGTAAGAAAAGGTAATAAACACAAATAAAATAAATACAAAAGAGCTTTAAGTAAGTGCAGAGCTGGAAGAAGAAAATCATAGAATACGGCGCACGGCATGCTCAATGCATTTCCGTGAAATTATTTCAGTTATATTTTTTATTTTATTTTTTTTAACATTTAATAGCATTTTCGTACAATGCATTATTGTTGAGTTTATTTAGCTTAATATTCGCTTTTCTATATTGTTTTTTTTATTTTTCGCTTCATATTTTCTTTGAATTCACACAACAGCTATTTATCTTGGCGCAAATCGAAAGGCCAACGAAATGCATTATTGCTTGCCTATAAAGCACTTTTGTGTGGGGTTTTTGTGTATTCTATATGCATGTATTTGTTGTGTAGTAAGCCACTTGAGCGCCGCAGACTCAATGCGGGTCATAGGTTAAGTGGCTACAGTACTGATATTGTTGCGCGTTTGCGGTTGTCTTTTTTTTTTTTTTGCCTTTAGAGCGTTTGCACAAAGCATACTTTGTGGCGCGTGAATAATTTTTTTTTAAACTCTTTTGAAATGTGCTGTGAAGTTTTGGCCTCAATCGCGCAGTGTAATGAATTATTATTTTTATCTCAGCCAAAACTACGAAATGCATATTTATTGTATAAGTTAATATAAGAAATTTAATTTGTTTCCTTTAAATTCGTTTATTTCCTCTAAAAAATTATTATATTTTTGATGGAAGCGTTTAAGCTATTTGCTAGATTTATATCAAAATTTAAATAGCTTTAATTTTTATTTTTGTTATTATTTCATAACTCATTTTTTAATCAAATATGATGCAATATTAGAATGGCACAATATAAGTTATGGCAATGAGCGAGCTTTGGAAAAAGCTCTTTGTCTTTGCATAACTGTTATAAGCGAACTTCCTTCTACAATAGTATTAATTTCATGCCATTCGTCACCTAATATATTAGGTGTAGTAAGAAGAAATCCATTTTTTTCCATTAGATGGCGTTCTTTTTCTGTATCTCACTTTGTATAAGTCCGATCGGATTACGCTAGATGGCGTTGAGAAGATAATAATTTGTACTTAAAAAGATTTTATGACAGTTTTGAGTTTGGTTGATTCAGTGTGGTTTGAGAGTACGTCAACGATGGGCCCCAGCAAAGAGAAAACGATGCTATATTCCCTAAAATTTTTTTCGATAAGTGCGAAAACGCAAGCCAGGTGGCTGAAAATGTGAATAGCGTCTCATTTCGGCTTCATTCCGGTAATTTTGATGTGTAGTATGCTTCACGAAGGGGTGGTCAATTTACGAAAATGTCCATAAAACCATGGACAGAACTTTAACGATTTCCTAAGAGCCAAAGACTGCACAAACAATCCTTTGGAACCATTTGGATAATGCTGGATGCGAAAAGCGAAAATTTCCCTTCAATTTCATGCAAAAATAATGAATTTCTTTTTATCACACCAAAACATGCGTGTATGCAAGATTGGTGCCGTCAAGTGAATATTGAACTGATATATGATAACTAATGATTAATCGTAGCAAAGCCTTTTAATCCATATTAAATAATTCGATATCTGATTCTTTAATGGGCAACTCTAGTACGTGATGCGAAGCCTTATTAGTCACATGAAAGTCAGGATGGACCATTGGATCCTATCCAATTTTGCCTTCTACCCGCTTATATAATATAATAGGTAACTAACCTTACTTTTATCGTTGATGTTGCTGTACCATAAAAAATATATGTAAAGAAAGTTAAACTCACCTGAAAAGAAAAAAAGAAATTATATGCAAATTAATTTTATAATTTTTTATTAATTATAATATAAAATGCACTAGAAATTTATAGCTGGGAGATCTCCATTATATGCAAATAAGAACTATACTTATTAATTATTTGTAAACGATTAATTTAAATGCAGTTTCCGAACTGAAAAAATTTTCTTTAAAGGAAGCAGTATTTTTTTCGTTCAACGCTGAAATAACGGCGAAGGTTAACAAAATCTGTGGACACTTCAAAATAGTTGGTGGGAGCACATTTATTTCAATACATTTGAGATCTTGAGATCTGTTCAAGTAGAGTGAAAGAAATTTAGTTAGGAAAGCGCAATTTTTCAGGTTTCTAACTGGCTAATTGGGAAGGAAGCAATTAAGTGCGTCAAAACAAAGTCCAGAAGCGTATATAGACAAGAAATTACAGTGAATCTCATTCGAGTTCCAGGCCACGCGGACGTAAATGCAATGAGAAGAACGGACGAGCTAGCCCACGCTGGTGGCGTTGTCATCCATAGACTGCCTTAGCGTCTTAAAATGTTGTTTAAAACACTGGATCATAGAGGAATAGTTCAGGTATTGAAACCCTGAAACTGTGGAGGGTGGCACTTAATTATTTTGGGGCAGCATAGATAGTAGACAGACCAAAGTGTTACTTGCTCAAGCAAAAGAGAACTTAGCATTCTTATGGGTGTATTAAAGAGGCATCCACTGCAGCTACATAAACTGGAAACAGCGATGCGCGAGTGACGTCACATCTTCCAAAATGCTGCTAGCTCCAATTTAATGGAAATGGGCACGCAGGGCTGGAAGAAACTTAAAGAAACAAACGCCTTGTTTGGATACACGTGGGAGCACAATAAGCCCGCTCAATGGCTTAGGTGTGACCACTTGCTATCAGTAGATTAAGACCTCCCTTCTTCAACCAACCAACTAAATTAAATTTATAAATAAATTTAACATTATAATAAATATTACTTTAAGGTCATAAGATAATGCAATGTGCACATACAATTCACGATCTACATTTTACACCCGATTCTCGTATATTATTATTTTGCTTTAAAACCTATACCAAATACTATCAAATCCATACAGCCGCAGTCGCTTACCCATACATAATCATTTTATATACTCCCCACCGCCAAAAACGCTTTCAGCCTTTGCCTTTCTTTGTGTGCTTTTAGCTCTTCCTTGCCTCTTTCGAGCTCATAATTCTTGACCTTAACGGCCAGTTTTGCCACTAAAACATCCAATTGAATAGAAATGACCAACCGAAATGGTCAAAGGGAGTGACGGATAGTAGGCAGCAAAACTTGAGGCAGGGCTTTTGGTAGCGAAAACTCATTCATTGAAAATCTGAGATTGGTAGGAATTTAATAAGCACACAAATCTACGAGTTTATGTAGTTGAGTATACCCTGTAGGGAAGGATACTAGTTTTTAACTAGTGCACTAGTATGCACTTTTACACTAACTTTTGACTTCAGCTCTTAGCATTTATTGATATTGGCATGTGTTGTGTTTGGCATGACAAAATTCAACGAAATGTTCTTCGCCCAACTTTGCATCAGCATGAAAGTAGTCACATACTAGTTCATTTGTGTTTATTTCAGCGACAAAAATAATAAGAAAATATATGTAAGCTGCATGCAAAACAGCGGCAGTCTCCAACCAATACGGATAGTCACTAAAATAGAGTTTATTAAAAATCGAAATACTTCTCTAAAGTACTAGTGTTTAACTAGAGCATTTGCATACTAGTTTGGCCTTTCACTGCAGGGTATGCGCTTGTATGTACTCGCGTGTGTTGGGTTAAAGGAAATTGCTACTTTGTGGCATTGAGCATCAGCATGAGTACAAGAAAAATAAGCACCAAAACTACAAAAATAAAGTGAATGAGTATGTGATGTCTGTATGTATCTATGCATGAGCATATATTGTTTATGCGTTATAACCTTTAGGCAGTCTGTATATTGCAATTTCAACATAAATACATTTGCCGTAAATGCTTGGGAATGAGTTATTTAATAGCAACTTCCAGGACTTTGGAGGGATGAAAGGAGGGATAGTGTGTAATGATGGCGGATAATGCTTGCAATCGTCCAAGTGGTTGTACAGTTATTGCCGACTGCCAATCGTCTATTCAATTCGATTGCTTTGACTTGGCCATAACAAATGCCGTTGGATTTACAACGGTGTTGTGTTCGTATGTGCGGTCAGCGGCATAGATGGAGTAGCTTAAAGCAAGCAAGTTTTTACGCTGTGGCCAGGTTTCACTCAGACAATGATAATAGTCTTAAGTGGTTTTTTATTCATATGAAAAAGAAGAGAGTTGAAGAGCGGTGCAATATGTAAAAGAGAAAAAATAAAGTGAAAGCGTTGGGAATATAAAAAAGTTTTTAGATTTTTGATTGAGGTTTAGTATTAGCAAGTAAGAAGGGGACTTAGTAACACTCGAGTAGAAAATGAGTTGGTCAATTATTGCGGTTCTACGAAAGTTAGTTCTGAACCTATCACTCAAGGCATATATTGACCACAAATGCAGAGCCGCATGCACCCTAAAATGCCTTTAATGGTATTCATGCAGAACAAAATTTGAAATGCACGAACCTTTTAGATGTTTGCGAACCGATTTTATTACTCATTCTGCCGGCATTGATTCCTCTAACTCCATTTTTTGTATCAAAACCTACTTACTAAGAACTTTATGTAATGAGGTAATTTACTTCTCTTCTTTCATGTAATCCATAGCAGCTGAGGAACAAATCTTTAGCTGCTAGGTTTCAGAGGCAAATGTAACTGCGACCTTCCACGTTTGGGCAGTCTGGACCGGTTTTTGTTTGGATTTTTCGCTCATCCCTCGGTTGGTGGATGATATTGGTTTCGCCTTTAAAAAAATGGCTTGTGCAATGAAGCATTCTTACTTTTTATTAGGATAGCAGACAAAAACAAAAAAAAAAAAAAATTAAAAAAATAAAAAAAAAATTAAAAAATATTACCAAAGCAAATTTCAAATATGAAATTTTATATACGAATTATTTGCCTAAAACACATTTTTATAAAGGGATCAAATCAGTTTTCTCTGCTCGATTTAGACGATTTGACGAAGCTTATGAGTATGAGTTGATTTTTAAATAGTGCCAATAGAAGAAATCCAAAAGTTATGGAAAATTAATTAAAATAAAAAATTAAGTTAAATTTTCTAATTGCGTTCGCCCCTCGGCAGGGAATGTCAACCCCTTCGAGTGAATTTCGGATGAGAAGTAAAGGCTTCTCGTAAAAAACCATCAGCTGTACGGCGGCGGCTTAGTATAAACTATAAGTCACTCCTTTTGTTGGAAGAACAGCAAGACGCAAAACCACCAATTGGAGGAGGAGTTCGGCTGGAAATCGCTTTAGCAGTTACAAAACGCCAATTATATATTACGAGAAATTTTATATATATAGAAGAAATGTTAAGCCCATATAAATGTGGGATATTTTCCAATAATTGCTCATAAATCCTTTTGCTGTCTAATTATTACCAACTTCATTTACTTCATTCAATACGCTCAACCTGAAACGTAAACAACAAGACTTCCAAGTGAATTTTGGCTTCCTATGGTGTTTTGGAACACACGCTGCCTACAGTAATTTCTGGAACTTCGTCTTAACGCGTAATCAGCTTAATGCTGGCAACGTTCTATTCATATTAAGTTGGATTGTATTTTTGGTTTCAACTTTTTGAAAAACTATCTAGTGCCTAAGCGTACAGAGAACAATATAAACTGTGCTGTCAAACTTATCACATTCACCTCAATCTAAGCCCAAAGTGAGGTATTTTCAAGAAAATTTTGTGGTGTGCGAAAAGTCTGATGCTGGTAAGTCATCTAAGGAACTGTCGTATCTTGAGACATCATACGAAATTCACCATTCACCATACGTCATACATATATTCGCTCTGATGGAGTTGAACAATTCACGCCATTTCTCCACGACTTGGGGGGAAAAGGATTTTTAAAAATGCAGATTTTTTTTAGCCCAGAAACATATTGTTTTTTTTTTTAGTTTTCATCTATAATTAATACTATACTTTTAAATTTTTTATAAATTATTTTTTGTTTAGTAAAAGAATATGAACATTTTTACAGAGCGCATGCATATTTTTGGTAAGTTTTTGAGTTAAATTGAATGGAGATGCATATAACTTTTTGTACAGCCCTTAAAACATTTTCATTTTAACGATGCCAATAAACACAGAAATCCGTAAAAGTAAATTTGAGTCTTAATTATCTTTGCATCACCTGACCGCTTGGAGGTGGTGTAAGTATAAAATCTAAAAATTTTAAATTTTTCTAATACCAATAAAACCAACTCAATACCAGAATAATTTTTAGTGCACAAAAAAAATCTTTTGTTATAGTTTAAAAGTTTGTTTTTCGCATATGAAACGAAATATTTTTCGAATGTAGGATATTTAACTCAGTGGATATTGTTTAAGTGGTTTGCGAAATCATCAGCGGCAATGACACTTTTCAACATATACGAGGGGAGTAATTGGAATTTGATCAGTTGGTGACTTTCAATTTGTTTTTGTTTATTCTGAAAATATCAAATCCCCTGCAAGTACTTCCCGAGTCTTCCTTCAATTCTAGAACGATAAGCTACAATAGAGGCGAGAAAGAAGAAAAAGAAGAAGAGCAAAAATATGAGCGAATAACGAACGCAAGATAGCTGAGGACAGATCAGACGAAATTCCAGCACCAACGCAAACAGAAATTCGCCATGAGGTTCTCTTGGGGTTTCAACGTTATTTACAGCCAATCCAAATATTCAGTGAATGCCAAATTGCATATGGAACGATTGCACCATCGCTAAAGACTATTTCTAAGTGGTTCCAAAGATTCCAGATCGGTTATTTCGTTGTAGAGGAGGTGCTTGAGAAGGTAGAGCAAAATCTTCTACTCATGACGACACTGAAGCTCTGGCGAAAATTGACGAAGACTCACGA